GCATGCCACTGCACTCCAGTCTGGGCAATGGAGTGAGACTCCACCTCAAAAAAAAAAAAAAAAACCAAAGACAAAACCCTCTTTCGAAGTCCTCTAAGAGATGTAATGGAAGACAAACCTCAGCCCCTTTGACCCATTCATCCCGGGGATGGCTCTTGATGACATCTCAGCAGGTGGTGGGACAGAGGAGTTTCCAGCCTGGCAGTGTTGGAAACCCTGAGGGCACTTGAGAGAACCACCCATCTCTGTGGCGCGGGGAGCCAAGAAAGGGTCCCCATCCTGAAGTGCCGCAGGGGCCTCTGGTGCCAAGCAGCTATGCTCCAAGCCCCAGGGAGCCTGCATTCCCATTGCTACATCAACCTCACTGTACCCTTCACTTTCAGAAGGAAAAAATGCAAAAGGGGTAATGGCACATGCAACTTAAGCCTGGATCTCCCCTTCATCTAAGGTGTTTCTCCCGTGCATTTAGTAGTTGCGTCGAGGCCAACCTCACTGTGGGGGCCACCTCCAAATAAAATCCCCTGGGAGAAAAACAAGTTTACCCGTAGAGCCAAAGGGTCAGAACTTCCACCGGGCAAGGCACTGGGGGAACACCCTCCTTCTACCCAGCTGGCCAGAGAAGACCTCCAAGCAAAGGGGCCAGGTAGTGCCCTGGGAGGGCCTGGGCCACCTGAGCACACCTGGGTGTCAGCCGCTCAAAGTAGCTACCAGCTGGCCCCAGTGACCCAAGGAAGGAGGAGAAAGAGGAAAAGCTCACACCCCTTGCTCTGTTCTCACCAATGCTGGGAACAAACTCTCAACCACAAAATTGACTCATTTGATCAGAAACACATCAACACAGGTCAATATATATAGGAAGCCAGAACTCAGCATTTCACAAGATTAACAATCTCAGGCCAGGCTCAGTGGCTCATGCCTGTAATCCCAGCACTTTGGGAGGCCAAGGCAGGAGGATCACCTGAGCCCAGGAGTTCAAGAACATCCTGGGCAACATAGTGAGACCATGTCTCTACAATAAACCCAAAATTAGCTGGCGTGGTGGTATGTGCCTATAGTACCAACTACTCAGGAGGCTGAGGCAGAAGGATTGCCTGAGCCCAGGAAGCTGAGGCTGCAGTGAGTCATGATGGTGCCACTGCACTCCAGCCTGGGTGACAGAGTGAGAGACCCTGATTTTAAAAAAACGAAAATCTTTAAAACCATTCCCCTTCAACAGTCTGTATTTGTGATTACCTGGATTGACAATCTTCACCGGGAAAACCTGACTCCCAGAATCAAGTGGGTGGAGATACCTGACTCCCAGAATCCAGTGAGAGGGAAGATGCATGACTCCCAGAATCCAGTGGAGGGGTGTGGGGGATACCTCGCTCCCAGAATCCAGTGGGGGGCTGGAGGGGATACATGACTCCCAGAATCCAGTGGGGGCAGAAGGGGGTGGATACCTAAGAAACAGAATCCATCCGGTGAGGAGGGGAGATACCCGACTCCCAGGATCCATTCGGGGGGATACCTGACTCTCAGAACTCAGTAGGGGAGTAGGGAGGGATATAGGACTCCCAGAATCCAGTGGGGGAAGCAAGAGGTATATCTGACACCCAGAATTGAGTGGGGAAGTGGGGGGATGCATGACTCCCAGAATCCAGTGGGGGGGGAACATGACTCCTAGAATCCAGTGAGGAGGGAGGGATTAAATACCTGACTCCCAGAATTCAGCGGGGGACTGGGGGGAATACCTGACACCCAGAATCCAGTGGAAAGTGGGGGGAGGGATACATGACTCCCAGAAGCCAGCAGGGCGGCATGGGAGGATATGCAACTCCCAGAATCCACTGCAGGGGGGGATACATGACTCCCAGAATCCAGTGGAAGATGTGAGGGGATACCTGTCTCCCAGAATTCAGTGGGGGGTTGAGGGGATATATGACTCCCAGAATCCAGTAGGGGGGGATGCAGGGATACATGACTCCCAGGATCCAGTGGGGGAGGGTTTGGGGGATACATGACTCCCAGAATCCAGTGGGGGGGGGGTGCAGGGATATGTGCCTCCCAGAATTCAGTGGGGAGGGAGGGAATGAATACCTAACTCCCAGAATTCAGTGGGAAGTGTGTGGAGGGAGCTCTGCAGCTCCTCCTGGGTGCCTCAATAGCCAACATAGCGCCCACCACCCCAGGCCCCCCCCCCGACCCCAAAGCAGATGGGAGGGGTTGCCCCTCAGGCCTTGCTGCACACGAGCTGGTCCCGTCTCAACATGCACATCCACTGACTTATTCTTCTGGGCCTGGCACCCACATCCCACAGGCACACAGGCACATGGTCACATGGGGCGCACCATACCCACTGGCCGCCCTGTCTGCTGCTTCATTGGGACACACAGCCTGGGGCACCTGGACAGGTCTCTTCTCCAGGCTCTAAGATTCTCCCTCTCTCCCACAGAGGTCCATTTCTGCAGACACCTCCAGCACCGCAGACTCGGCTCTCTCCAGGGGCATCGGGTCTCCCCAGGTCCAAGAGCGACCTCAGAGTGCCCAACAGAGCCCAGCGTGGATGCGGCTGTGCAAACGCCCACACTGGGGCTGCAGGGCAGGGGACACCTGGGACAGCGGAAGCTCCACAGCCACAGGCTTCCCCGCCAGATTGAAAGGGGCACATTTTGTTGACTTTATTTTAAGTCAGGGTCTTGCTCTACTGTCCAGGCTGGAATGCAGTGGCCTGATCACAGCTCACAATAGCCTTGGCCTCCTGAACTCAGGCAATCCTCCAGCCTCAGCCTCCCAAGTAGCTGGAACTACAGATGAATGCCGCCACACCAGGATAATGTTTTTATTTTTCTGTAGAGATGAGGTTTTACTATGTTGCTCTGACTGATCTCAAATTCCTGGGCTCAAGCAATCCTCCCGCCTCAGCCTCCCAAAGTGCTGGGATTACAGGTGTAAGTCACCACACCAAGCCTGATCATGGCATTCTCGGTTACAACTACTTATAAGTGAAGACCTGTGAGCAGTCCAGAAACCATAAATATTCCCATCTGCACACTCCCCTAGGCTCCCTCTGTGTCCCTGACCAAAGTATGGCTCCTGGGAGCCACCTCTCTCCTCTCCCTAGCCCCACCTACCCCATCTGGAACATGCACTCAGGGTGAACAGCACTTGCGGACATAACAACCCAGCCCAGCAAGGAGCAGCACGGCTGCGCCACCTCCCTCTCCAGATCCTTCCATGCCAAAGACATGCAGATTCCCAGGCTCCACTTGAAACAGAAACACGTATCCGGAGAGAAAGAGGCCAGAGCCCCACACAGTCACTGACCATACTAGGGTGGTCCTGCACCCACACCTGAACTTCAAAAGTGGGGAGAAACAGACCAGCTGCCCTCGGGAACATTGTGAACACTGAGTCCAGCTGGAGACACCAGCCAGCAACAGCTCAGGGTGGGGAACCTTCCTGGCAATGTAGTCTAATGGCAGCTGCATATCTCTTCAGAACTCGAAGCCAGATCACAATTTTTTTTTTTTGGTCAGGGTCTCACTCTGTTTCCCAGGCTGCAGTGCAGTGGCATAATCACGGTTCAACGCAGCCTCAACCTCCTGGGCTCAGGCGATCCTCAGTCTCCCGAGTAGCTGGGACTACAGGCGTGTGCCACCACGCCTGGCTGTTTGATTTTCTGTAGAGACAAGCTCTTGCTAGGTTGCCCAGGCTGGTCTCGGCTCAAGCAATCCTCCCACCTCGGCCTCCAAAAGTGCCAGGATTACAGCTATGAGCCACCATGCCCAGCAGATCACAATTTTGTCTCCCACTTCTAACAGTGGAACGTGTTTCTCTAGTACCTACTATATTCCTTAAAAGAACAGTCATGCAAATTATTAAAACTGTCTTCTCTTAGCTGACCATGAAGTACAAATGAAGGCGTTAAAGTCAACACTCAAGTTGCCAGACACTTCAATATGACAGTCACCTGGGCAACTCCCATCTGTCTGGTCTTAGAGTATGTAAGTAAACTCAAGGCAAAGCACCATGGCTCACACCTGTAACCCCAGCACTTTGGGAGGCCAAGGTGGGAGGATCACTTGATGCCAGGAGTTCAAGACAATCCTGGGCAACGTAGCCAGACCCTGTCTCTACAAAAACCATAAAAATAAATTTAAAATAAATACATGAGTATGCTACATCTCTTCCCAATGTCCATTACTGTCATTTATTCCAGAACACTGAAGAAGTTACCTTTTTTCACATTCAGATTCAGAAAGAAAAGAAATGACATCTTTCTCTAGCCCCTGGTGGCGCTTTTCCCAAATATACATGTACACGACTCACGGACTACGACCTTTGCTCAAACTCTAAAACCACAATGATCCACCCACGCTGAGGCATGATAACGACAGCCAATCAGGTCTGCAAACCACAGTTTTGTGATGATGAAAACGCTCTCAGTGGAAAACCCTCAGATAGTACAAACACTAAAAATAGTGCATAAGGAACAGGCTTAGGAAAAAGAAGTTCTTACAATCATCAAAATGAGTTAAAGAAAATAAAACCCAGCCATGAGTGGCAGCTCACGCCTGTAATCCCAGCACTTTGGGAGGCCAAGGAGGGAGGACTGCTTGAGCCCAGGAGTTCAAGACCAGCCTGGGCAACTTAACAAGACCTCATCTCTACAAAAATATTTAAAAGTTAGCCCGAGTACGGTGGCACCTGTAGCCCCAGCTACTTGGGAGGCTGAGATGGGAGGATCGCCTGGGCCCAGGAGCTTGAGGCTGCAGTGAGTGTGATGGTGCCACTGTATTCTCGTCTGGGTAGCAGAATGAGACCCCCACCTCAAAAAATAATAATAATAGTGTGCAACAATAGACTATGGGAAGGGAAGTCCTTTACAATCGTCGACATGAATTAAAGAAAATAAAACCCACTGGAACTGCTGCCTCAGCACAGAGAACACGCGCGTTGATTGTTCAGTGGAGAAAAGTGAAGGATCAAAACGCCGAGGACGCGGCTCCCGGGCTTACCTGGCTCCGCTCCTTGTCCACCTTCTTGAAGCACTTGTTCAAGGACAGGTTGTGCCGCACGGAGTTCTTCCAGCCCGTGGGCGCGCTGGCGAAGTACGGGAAGTGCTCCAGGATCCAGTTGTAGATGTCCTTGACCGGCAGCCGTTTGCTGGGCGAGTCCTCGATGGCCATGAAAATGAGGCAGCTGAAGGAGTAAGGGGGCTTGCAGTTGGGGTTCTGCCGGGCGTCGTAGGGCGCGTCGGCGTGGGCGGGGGACGGGGGCGTGTCGTCGTCCAGGTCCTGCACCGGGCTCACACTCCTGAGGACCGGCTCCCCGAAGCTCTTGAGCAGGTTCTTGCTCTCGTGCAGCCAGTTCAGGTTGGTGAGCTCCTCATCTTCCATGGCCGCCGCCTCTAGTCGGAGGTCGGGCAGGGGGAAGTCGAGGTCATCGTCCTCCTGCAGGGCCTTGGAGCGCCCGCGGCCCCGGAGACACGGCCTCAGGCCGCTGGAGACGCTAATTCCTGAGCTTTCCGGTTTCTTACTGGGAGGCATGCCGGGACCCATCTACGTGAAGGCTCCTAGGAGAGGCCACACAGAAGCAGGGAGCCGGTGAGACCCGCGGCACAAAGGCAGCGTCCCCCAGCCTCCTGCCTCCCCACTGCCTCCACAGCCCGGCTGCCGGACAGAGGCACCACCTCCCAGCTCCTGCACCGAGCCACACAGACCCCCATCCCACCACACCGAGATGGGCTAATAAGAATAAAAACCAGTCCAGGCAAGGTGTGACGGCTCACACCTGTCATGCCAACACTTTGGGATGCCCAGGCAGGGGGATTGCTTTAGGCCAGGAGATCGAGACCAGTCTGGGCAATATAGAAAGACTCCTGTCTCTAAAAAAAAATAAGTTAAATAAAAAATAAAATAAAAATAAAAACCAGTCCAGGCCAGTCACAGGGGCTCACATCTTTAATCCCAACACTTTGGGAGGCCGAAGCAGGAGGATCACTTGAGGTCAGGAGTTTGAGACCAGCCTGGGCAACATAGCAAGAGCCCTATCTCGACAAAATATAAATTTTTTAAAAACGGAGTCCAGGCCAAGTACAGTGGCTCACCACTGTAGTAATCCCAACACTTGTGGGAGGCTGAGGCAGGAGGATTGCTTGAGGTCAGGAATTCGAGAACAACCTGGGCAACATAGCAAGATCCACGTCTCTACGGAAAAAAAAAACCAAAACAGTCCAGGCAGGACACAGTAGTTCATGCCTGTAATCCCAACACTTTGGGAAGATGAATCAAGAGGATCACTTGAGACCAGGAGTTCAAGAACAGTCTGGGCAACCTAGCAAGAACCCCATCTCTACAAAAATAAAAAATAAAAATCAATCCTCTATTCATATGGCAAGGTGACCTGATGCTGCTTAAATAAACCACAACTGAAAATACTCCCAGCACCTTTAATGTACAAATACTCCATTAAAAGACATTTTACCATGACTCCCGCCTAGACCTGTGGAGACTCTCACTGTGACCCTGGGAAAATTCCTTTTTTCTCAGTGCCTTCATTGTTCTGTCATACATAAACACATGCGCATGTAAAAGTTTTTCAAACTTCGTGATCAACACCACAAAATAAAGACGTGCAGAACCCTTGTCACTGCAGGTTACTGGTCTCATGTTCATCCTTCTCAAAGAGAAAGACCTATCAGTGTCAGGCCTATAGTTTCCACAAAGTTCAGCTGTTTCCACAGGAGATACCACCATGGCCTCCGAATTAAACGGTGGCCACAGTGAACTCCAATTGGGTTGCTTTCATTGATTTTTGTATCCCCACAAAAACTGTCAACTTAATTCTATTTTCCAATGACAAAGAATTTCATGGACTCAGGCTGGAGGAAGGATACATTGAGCTACTGTGATGCTGTACCCAGACGGCAAGTAGGTGACTTGGGGCACCACCAATACATGGGACTTCGGGAACATGAGACAAGCCATTAGCCGAGCTTACGACTGGTGGGCAAAGTCCTGAGCCCACAGCCAGCTGCAAGACCAGAGACAAAGTCAACAGAAACTGCCCTAGAATTCTGTCTCTCCCAAGTCCCCACCCTCCTGTGGTTATCAATGACCTAGAACAGAAAGTAAACAGAGAAGAAAGTAATATCTGATGAGAAGAAGGAAAAAAGAAAAAACGAGGAGGTGACCGGTCACAAACACAAGCAGGCGTGAGCTAGACAGGGCTGTGGAGACGAGGAGGAAGGTCTCCCGGCACTGCAACCACATGCTGGGCTCCACAGGGCCTGGTGTGATTCCCCTCCCTGTGAGAAGACCAGGCCATGTACCCAAAAGATGAATGCACATGTCAAAAGCAAAGACACTATTCCCCAAGTCTCTAAGTGCCCACTAACCTGCATTTCACACAACAGCAGCTACAGTGGGGAGTTCTGGGGTGGGATATTCCAGCGACCACCACTTGGGGCCAACAGCCAGCCCAGGGTGCCAGTGCACAGACCTCTTCCAGAGGATGGAGCAGCAGGACCTGCTGGACATGAGGCCCGAAGGGAGCCTCCCAGGGCCCCTGCAATTCCCAACTCCATGGGGAAGAAACTTCACGGGGCCTCAAGGTGCAACTCAGCCAGGACAGGACAGAGGCCTCAAATTCACCCACGGCTGATATTTCTCTCTGTTCGATAAGAAGGCTGCTTGGAACACATTTTAAAGAAAAAAAGCCTATGTTTTAGATTGTGGCGTATGCCAAGTCAGGCCTAATAGTACTCTTGATTTAATAGACCTAATAGAAATACAGGATCTCACGATGTTGCCCAGGCTGGTCTCGAACTCCTGGGTTCAAACAACCCTCTTGCTTTGGCCTCCCAAAGTGCTGGGATGACAGGAGTGAGCTACTGTGCCCGGCCTTACTCTTAAGTTCTGTATGAACACACCAACGTGAGGCTTGTCTCTCTTTTACTAAAGTTTTCTCCGATCCCATCAGGAAATGTTCTGATCACCAGCAGATCCACACAGCAACTACAAAACAGAACAACCCAGCCTCCAAAGCCAACTTGAGCTCCAAATGAAAGTTTTATGTCTCCTGAGCTTCCAAACAGGAAAATTATATCATGGCTGACAGTAAAGTAATTTAATTGCACTGTTGCCATGACAACATGCTGCTCTCTTTCTTTTTAATTTGCTTATTTGTCAGTAGCTTCCCAAAGGAACTCACACGCCATTCTCCATGTTTTCTTTTGTTTTAAACAAACACTGCCAGCAATATGGTTTTATCAGAAAGATGGCATTGCCGGTAAGGGGGGTATTGGGGGGACCAGCACCCTGGATCACTGGGTGGTCTGTGCTGGGTCCTCCCTGGCCTCCAAGTGTCCTCTGCTCCCCAGTAAATCCCGCATTCGATGGCCACCGCAGGGCCGCTGATCACTACAGTTCCATTTCAAAACACAGTTCCCAGAAACCACAGCTGAGGAGTTTTCCATGATCATACTCTAACTGCAGAATTCGCCAAGTCTTTTTTCCCTCCTGATTTGGGGGGGGAGGGAGAATCTGGATCATGTGAGCCTGCAGTTCAGCAAATATTTTTAATCTGCTGCCAACGAGGGTGCCCCACCAGACACGCAAATAGTTTTTCACTGGTGACCTCGCCACAACTTTCCGGCTTGTTATTGCTCACGATGCGCGCGCGCGCACACACACACACACACACACACACACACACACACACACACACCTTTGTTTTTTTACGACTTGCTGTGTCTTGTTATCTGTTTTGTTTTTCTTTTTTAAGGGGAAAGTGCAGCAGGAAAGAAAGCCCGCGTCTCGCCCAGTGTCACCGGCAGGTCTCCAAAGAACTGACAAAGACACCGACTCCGGACAGATGTTCGCAGTGAACTTGGGAAAGTTG